AAAAAAAAAAAAAAAGGATAAATGAGAGAAAGTTTGGTAGGAAAGAGCTTGTGTGGTCGTTTCTCAAACAAGCAAATGTGTCGTGTTGGCATTTGGGACATCCGTGTTTGCTAGCTACTTTATTATTTTTTTTGGCGACGAAAAGTGTATATATTGCCATTTTTTCAAAAGTAAATAGCATTTAATTTAATTGAAGCATAAAAATAAAAAAATAATAATAAAACTAAAATGTTCTGGAAGCTTTGGACGATGGAGAAGAGAGTTTGAGCTAGCCATCTACCCTTTGAAACATGTGGAGTTTGACTCCACCATCAATTTTCTTTTTTATTTTTTTTTATATATATATTTTTTTTGTGCAAAGTAAATATTTAAAGAAACTAGTATAGAACTCGACGTGGGTATGAGACCCCAACATTATCATGCTCAAGCCATACACGAACTCCAGGCAGCGGTAAGGAGAAACGATGCAATCCAAAGATACCGCCAAACTCGCCAAATGATTAGCTGCAAAATTCATTTCTTTATGAACATGTTGCACACGTACCGTCCACTCCCGCTTCAGTAGGTAATTTGAATCATTTTTCTATTAACTTTGTTGGTTTTGGTATTGGGTGATTCGTATTTATGAAATTCATTTTATAAATAATTTTTTCTAATAAATATTAAGTTATGGTATTGGGGATTCGGATTTATGAAATTAATTTCGTGGCAAGTCATGTGGGAATACAGTAGTTTCTCTCTCTTGGTAGTTTTATATTTGATAGTTGTATTTTGTTCATCGTATGATTGGGAAATGTTACGGTCCCATTAATTCCGTCAATGTGTAATTGTTAGATTATCATATAATTGTCGAGAATAGTTGATCTAACGGTTACAAACCCCAACAAAATAATTTCGTAACAGACCGTAGTATCTCCCAGTATTATTATGTTCAGTTCCCTTATTTACCTTTGCAGTCCCAAACTCCCAATGGGAGAATTAGTTCGTGTAATCGTGTGTTTGATAACATTAATAATATCTAATATTGTTTGAAAAAAAAAATAGCATCTATATATATTGCTAACATATAGCATTTAATAAAACTTATTTAATAAAACCTCTAAAATTTTCCTTCCATTTTTTGTTACAAAATTTATCATTAATATTTTTTACTTCACATTAATACATCCTATTGAGTATAATCATGTATTATATAATAATTGCTAATACCAACTAATAATAATTCACAATAAATATAAATTACATAATTATAAATAATTGTTTCAAGTTATTTATTTTAACATCAATATTATCTTTTTCTTTTGTATCTCATGAAAAAAATTCTTTAAAAACAATTAGTAAATTGTTTTAATAGTATAGTCAAACAACTTTAGAAGCTTATAAACAATTTTTTTTAATAATAATAATAATAATAATAATAATAATAATAATCAAACTGCTATTATCTAATGATAATAAATAATTGTTCATAATAATAAAATCATTAATTTATTTTTCCTAATCAATTTTTTGAAAATATAATATGTTCGTTATCTAGATTTTAATATTAAATTTTCAAATATTACTAATATTTATGTACATCTGTGCATATGCACATGATATCTACTAGTTAAGACTAAACTAATAAATAATAAAAAAACAATTGGCAAGAAACACATCAAACAGACGTCCAAAATTAAAATAATCACAAGCATTAGTCAAGATACCCCCAACTTTTCTTCCATTTTGACTAGTTTAATTGGACCAGAAATTTGAAACATGTTGGTACTCATACCATATGATTAGTTGTAATCACTAACTTGATTTAATCTAGTTATATACAATTCTAAGATTCACCACTCCATGTGTTTAGTCTCCAGATACAATGTCATCTTCCAAAATTATGAGAAAAATTTCATTTTATTTTATTTTTTAAAAAAATAAAAATAAAAATGATTTCTTTGAAATAGATGGTGCAAATTAAATACCATTAGACCATTCCCATGCTCTTTATATGCATACTAAACACACGAGTAATTTTACGTGTTCTCTGCAAACTGAAATTAGTTAGAACAGCCAAAGATTGACACTTAGCAATTAGCATACGTTAGAATGATTTATAAGAAAGCAAAACCTTGCAATAAATATTACGTAAACAACAAAAATTAATTTGATTTCACGGAAGTTATCAATAGTTAAATTTTACTCAAAAAGGCAAAAAGTTCAAGGGCACCATAATCCCTCCTCAACCTTACAACACCATTAAATCGACGAGCCCTCAAAAATTGTGAACATATAAGCTTAACTTGAAACAAAAGTAATTTCTAATAAATACAGACAAACATTACCTGTAATTAGGCCTGTGATGTTATGGCTGCAGCAGCACTCACATAAGCCACCTTGGATTTTTTCTGTTTTCTGTCTTGTGATTTATGCGATTTTCGCTTTTTCCTTGACGTATCTTTTGTACTGGGTAAATCCTCACCCTCCATTTCATCTACTTTTATACGCCGGTTTTCTTCTTCTTCTTCTTCTACCTTGGGCTGCTCCAAAGTATCATCTCTTGATTTTGTCTCGCTTGTTTCAGGCTCGATGACAGACATTCCGGTCAAGGTATAGTCCAAAAGGAATGTGCTTCTTTCCAATCTGTCTATTCTTGAATAGTGTCTCTTTGAATATGGGATGAGCCCTTCGAGCAGTTCTCCAATTCCCTTCATCTGTACAAAAACACATCACCAATTAAAAAAATTACCCTTGATTAAGGGAATTTGATTATGATCAGATAAGGATTAAGTGGAATTCTAGTCAGTTATTAAGAAAGAATTAAGCTTGTGGGAGACCAAAAAAAAAAAAAGATAAAGAAAGAAACGAACAAACAAAGAAAGCAGAGATTCCCTGGAGGAGAAATTACAAATTTAATATATTACTGATTTTGTGATTTGGATAAGCCTCAGAGTAGTTCTTGCAACTATCTCATGAAAATTATATTAATTATGAACATCACCTCTGATATTTAGCCATACAACTAAATCAATTATCATTCAGAACTCAAGGTAGCAATAGCGTTTGTAGTTAATTATGAATGACAATTCAGATTCAACCCCTATGATCAGGCTAAACCTCAAGGGTAGTCCGTAAAACAACCCAAAAAAAAAAATTTGAACGCGAGTACCTCAACAATCTCAGTAGGTGGGAAGATGCTAAATACACGATGCAGCACAAATTGAGCAACATGGCAAAATTTGGGCTTTGAATTCCATTCTCTTATATATTCCAAAAGCACATGAAGCTCCTCCTTGGTAACAGGAGAAAGAGCCTTTTCCATCTGGACATCAGCATCTGTCTTTCTGAAAAGGGAGATCAATGCTACAATAGAAAAACCTTTCGGAAAATATCAAACGACAGACTGCAATTGGAAAAGCCACGTACCTGCAGAGTTCACTAAATATATCAAACAGTTTGTGGGGCCTGCGAAGTTCGAATGCTAGTTGAATAGCCCTTGGGTAGTCCACAGCTTTTACGGCATTTTCTAGTTCTTGCCCTCTCTCAGCAGCTTCCCCCTACAGTTGTATTATGGATATGTTATATCAGATACAATTACTATTATTTGTAATTTATCATCATCATTATCATATCATCATCATCCTTATCATCAATGACCACAACATATACAAAAACTAAACTAAAGGCCTAAATGGAAAGGACAAACAATATATGAGATGGAATCATAAATAGCTTATGAGTACATAAATATATTGTGTGGAGTGAGAATTCATAAAAATAATATTCAAACTGATTAAGAGATTTCTCACTTCTTTACGAAATTCTTCCTCTCTATCTGCAGCTGTGGAGTCGTGCCACAAATTAATAACAGCGTCATCACCACCAGTTACAAGCATTTCTGTCTGCTTCCCAATAGCCAACGCCCATATCTACAGAATTTGTGTGTAAGCAAAGTAAACTAACAACTGATGAGATCAATCTGCAGACATAATTTAGAGGGCAAAGAAAATAATAATAACGTGAATTCTTTGGGGTACAGAAAAATCTGAACCTTGTCTTCATGCTGATCATAAGTGGCCACGCATTCATTGGTTTTTACAGTCCACAATTTTACCAAGCCATCAGCACCTAATAATATGGTCAACTCCAGTTAGAACAAAAGTCAAAAAGAAACAATAAGAGTGAAGAATAATATCTTAGAGCGACAGTTAGATTACCGCAAGAAACAAATTGAGTGCCCCGGGTAATAAATGAAGCTCTAATGACGCTTGATGTGTGCCCTTCAAATGTTCTTAAACAGGACCCATCAGAGATGGCCCAAATTTTAACTGTTTTATCACCCGAAGCTGTAATAACACACTGATCCACTGGGGAAAACTCTACAGACCAAATTCCCCTTTTATGTCCTTTAAGAACAACAACAGAGACAAGATCTGGGAGCCTCCATATGCATGCTGTGCGATCCTAGTTATTCCAAGGGGATTAAAAGGAAAATGAAAAATTAGAAGCAAATACTAAAGCAAATATGTAAATTTTCAACAAGGGATTTAACAACGTATTTACCTGGGACCCACTGCAAACAAGGCTATCGTTGGGAGCAACTGCTAACGAGTTAATGTCTTTGTCATGGGCAGCCACAACTGCTTTTGCTTTCAAAGTGGAAACTTCTTCAGCATCATCAGAAATTCCATCTAAGCTCCACACCTTCAGCGTACGATCGCTGGCCGAGGTAAAGATTAGCATTTCACGTAATCAGAAACAACACATAAAATTATTACGAGAAAGAAAAGACAGCTCTAGTTTCAAAAACAATTCAAATGTAATTACCTGCTGCCGCTAACAAAGAAGTTCTTGCTTTTACGCGAGAAAGCAACAGCACCAATACCACTCATGTGACCTATGCCAATTCCAATGCAACGTTGGTTTTGGGATTCCCACAACCTAACCTGAGAAGATAAAATAATCAGACTAAAAAAGTAGCCTTAGAACATAAACACACACACAAACACACGCAGAGCCCAACTCACAGTATTGTCCTTGCTTCCTGTCACAATTAGAGTTCTTCCAGGACTTTGCACAGAGGTGTCAAGGCATAGAACCACATCAGTGTGGCCAGTCAATACGTACGAACATGACATTGATGCCAGATCATACACCCGTACCTACAGATGACACAATGTAAAGAATGACCAACACCAGAGAGACAACCATAGACAAAACTGTTTGCTGTTTGGTTAATGATAAATCAAATAACTCCTCAATAAATTCGTCCTCAGAACATCCAACGGCTATGCCAAACAAGGTTGAACCAGTTTGATTCCCAGTTGATAAGATGCTCAGTACACACGACTACAAAATAAAATTACGTCACCTGTTCAACACTTGTGGCGACTGCTATAAATTTTTCTTCTTCACCCAAAAATTTCATATCGATAATCTGTTCATTATATCCAATCAACCTTTTTCTCAGTCCTAAGTTCAGACCTCCATCAGCATTTTTATCAAGATCGTAAACAAGAAACTGCTGGTCAGCTGTAGCACACAAAAGTCCTTGCCCTAATGGAAGCATCAGTGCAGACGTGAAACCTCTTTTAACCTCTTCGTTATCTGAGCTAGCAGCCAAATCTGAATATTTCTGCTCAAAAAGGAGCACTGCCCTGTCATTGAAAAACCATGAAAGTTTAGAAGGGACGAATAGAATTTAATAAGTAATCACCTAATTGCTGGAGCTAGTGATGCAAATACAGGCTCCTCAACAAGATATAGTATGCAGGGGTTGAATAAAATATAATTTTTTGCTTTTAAAGAACCATGTTGAAAGTAATTAACCGGAAAAATCCGAATCCTATATGCACTTGCATCAGTGTTATCTTTAGCTAATGACAGAAAATGGTGACGGGCCGAAATCCCGTGATAGAGGCTGCCGTGGTAGCTTGTGACGCCGCCATAACTGCTATCCTCACAAATTTGTAATGGCGGTTACTGGTTAGGCAGAAATCCATCATGCCATACCGCCATGGCAGAAATTTGATATCATTGGCTCGTATTGAAAGAAAATATATAAATTCCGCTCAAACACACACACAAACCATTACAAGTTTTTTAACTGTCAAAGGTATGGATGACCCACCCCTCCGAATTCCATATCCGCACAATACCACGTTCACCAACTGTTACAAATTTAATAGAAGATGAGCTGATCTTCTTCCCTTTTTCCTTGGCGTATGATGACAAGCATGATGAAAATGGGGATGCCGAATAAAGTACGCACACAGCTTCCAGCGCCTCATATGTGGGTACAGTTGTTGAGCAGCTGTAATCGTGCAGGTTCCATATATTAACAACCTGGTATCACAACAGGTATCAGTATGTTGCTAAACGCAATATGTTGTATGACAAATCGATACCATAGAACAAAAAGGAACCTGATGGGATTGAATATTTTTTCAGCAAAACAAGTGGAAATAAGGGCACATAACATTTCCTAATTTCATAACATTGAAGTGAAATCTCCAACGCTGAAGTGAAATAAGGGCCGTTGAAGTGAAATCTCCAACGCTGGATTTTGTCGCATAACATTTCCTAATTTCATCACATTGTAACTCTGCAAATTTTTGCTCTCATTCTAATCAAAGATTAATTATATTGACAGAATAATGCAGACAGTACCTTATCTCTTCCAGCACTAAGCAAGGTCCATCCATCTTCAAATACTGCTAATGAAGTGACTGCCGATTGATGCTTTTCTAGTGTTGCAACACACTTTTTGCTTGTAAGATCCCACACCTTAACAATAGCATCATCACCACCGGAAAACAGCTGTAAAGCAACAGACAATTACTCTTACCATCAATTACACCAGCAATGGCTGGTTACACTAGAAATTGGAAAAACTTAGAAACTCAAATTTACATTTTCTTTTTTCCATTTGGAAAAGAAAAACTCACAAGCAATCGATTCGGGTCAGGGTGATAAATGATGCTAGTAACCACCCCTTTATGCCCCTTGAAATAATGTGTACAAAAGCCTCCATCAACATCCCACACTTGCACCTTCTTGTCAGCCCCTGCTGTGGCCAACAACCCCCCTGACGCATGGCAAGCCATTCCCATGACTGGCCCTTCATGCCCCTTATTTACAATATAACACAAATACAATTTCAATCACAGCAAACAAATATATGTTATCAACAAGGTTTGTAAGCAAGGTGAAACTGAAAGCAGAAAAATATATGGTGTAATTTCTAGTTCCAATCCTGGAGCTGAAAATGACTTTAACTGAAAAGTTAAATGACAGAACAAGTTACATTACTGCAGTCAGTAGCAGAAAAACATGAGTAAATAATAAATAAACCTTCCATGAGCGGATGCATTTTAGGGAGGACAAATCCCACACTCTAATTTGGCGGCTGTGACTGGATGAGAAGAGCAAATTATCGTCGGGGCTGAGGATAAGGGCAGTAACAGGCTCGGAATCTCCTTCGATTGTAGATTTGATTTCGGCGTTGGAAGAGTCGACGATTTTAATGGTCTCGTCGCATGAGCAGACGAGGAATGAGCCGTCGGAGGAAACAGCGTATGGACCTCCAGAGTAGAATTGTTGCAGGGACTGAGAGCACCGGTAATTCTTCTTCAGAGTCGCCGCCGACGCCATGAGAACTGCACGTCAACTTCTGTGCGGGGTTTAGGGTTTTAGCCTGTGAATAGAGGTGGGGCTGGTAAACTCGCGCCTGGAAGAATGACGTTTTGTTGTTACATAATAAATGGATAATTCATTTTTAGTACCCAAAATAATATGAAATATTAATTTGGTACTCTTTTCAGTTTAATTAATTTTAGTTCAACATTTTCAAAATTAATCACTTTTTTTTTTCCAAAACGATAGATATTATTATAAAACAAAAGTGCATAAATGTGAATACAAGCAGCTCCTAGTTGTATGAGAACAGTTAATAGCTAAAAAATGAGAGGACATGTCAGAAGACCGCCTAGAATCTCGATTAGCAACGGTATAATAAAAACTCGCTACTAAACTAACCAACTACTCGAACAACTAAAACAACTAAAAAAGATCCCAACAGAGTAACGCCCGAGTGTCAGATTTCAACATGATAATAAAATGACACTCGGGTACACATAGGCCAATGGCCTAGACCAAAAATACAAGACCAAAGAACACACAACAAAAACACAGACTCAAACAAACACACCTAAACAGAAATCAAAAACTACAACAGAGAAATCTAGCTCTCCCTCTACAACAAATCCAAACCAGACGAGCAGCTCCCAATTATCCCAGGGGGACCCCACAGCTTGAGAAAATCGACCCTTCCACTGCCAAACCGCCTAGCTGAGTCGAGCTCAAAGCACGAATCCCCTAAAGCCAATTCTCACCAACGCCACAAACAACAAGAAAGCTCCCAACACCACCAGACCGAGCCCCCTAACACCACTACCGGACTCTGAAATAGTAATGTGCACTTCGGAACCCAAACCCAGAGAACCGGGGAACATGAGATGTCTCGATGTTGTAGCCCCAACTCTACCATCTCAAGGCATTCAGACGCTTGAGCTCCACGAGGACCTAACCCCCGAACCACGGAGCACCACCAGTCGCGGCAAAAGAGAACCGAGACAAAAGCGGCAATAGGAGAAACTCAACTTCAATCGAAATCGGTGAACCCAAAATTCGACCAGTCGTCAACCAAAAGCTCGTTGCCTTCAATCACCTTTCGCCGGCGAAAAAGAACAGAGCAGACCGATAGGCTCCTGCACTCCACTACGACCGGAGAGCGAACTAAGACTACCATCCCAGCTGTTGGAAGCGAATTCGGGGAGACGCCCACCTGAGAAGCCCAAGACGCTCTGTCCTGAGAAAGTGGACCGCCAGAGCCGCCCCTGAACCATAGCGACGCGAATCATGAACTTACCACAGCACCAAAGAAGTCGGCGATTGCGAACCCTAACCCACCTTCAGGAGAAAGAAAATTGGAATTAACATCCATGGCAAGCAGATTCGTGACATCTGGGAGGGCCGGGCAGCGTGGGAACGACCGCCGGCGCGGCTTCCAACCGAGACGAAGACAACGAATGAAGAATTTAACAGCGAGACAACAACGAGAGAGGAAAGGGAACTTTTGCGATAGAGAAACAGAGCGTTCTCTTTTGATTGAGTTCAAAATTTATCACTGAAATTTTAATCTGGTTAATTTTGGTTTGACATTTTTAAAATTAATCACTTTTGCCCAACATTCTTAAAAAAAATATGTATATATTAATGATCATCTCTTCATATTGTTCATTGGTACTCCCATTTGATGCATTTAGTGAATTATATCATCTTAGAGCATGTTTGGTTGGGGGATTAGATAGGATAACCCCATTAATCATGCAGTTATCCAATGTTTGTTGTACGTGATAGTGGCCCGCAAAGAATTTATAGGCCCGAGATAATTTTGTGGTTATCTTGCATACTTGAGATTAATTAATATTCTCTGCCCGTATGATTCAATTCATCTTCACAATATAAATTAATGAAAATTACTGATCAACCCTCCCAAAAGCTAGACGCCCACGAATTCATCGGTCATTTGTGTTCTCTCTCTCTCTCTCTCTCTCTCTCTCTCTCTGCACTTTCGGTGGTATAGCGCAGGCGGAACGCCGCATGAAGCAGGTATACTCATCTCTTCTGTCCGATCCATTCTTATTTTTTTCATTAATTAATCCATCAAATAAAATTTTATTTAGCAATAACTTTTATAATATATTTTTCACTCGACACCGTGTAGTACACGAGCATCATACTAGTGTTTTCTTATAATAGTATGGCTTGTGTAATTAAATTTTAAAAAAATGATATAATATTATGTTGTTCATCTTTTATTTTAGTAGACAAAAAGCTAACTTATAAATTTCTTTTATTTAAATAGAATCTTTAGGATTTTTTTAAAAATTCTAGAGCTTATTTCATAAATTTATTTGGGTAATTATATTTAACACTTCTATCATATGAATTAACTTTTCGTGTAAGTTATAACTTATAAACTCAAAAATATTTATAAATTGTTATAAGTTAGCTTATATCTTCATTTACGAGGGTGTGTCAATTATGATTTTTAAGGACATTTTAAGACTTTAAAAACCCCGGTGTATTCAATTTAGATTTTTAAGACTTTTAAAAATTTTGAAAAATTTTAGGGTATTCAATTGGGGTTTTTAAAAGTTTTTCAAAATCTTGAGTTATTTAATTTATTTGACACTATAATTTATTAACACTTTTTTAAGATTTAGTAGAATTTATAACAAAAAAACTTTATACAAAATTCCAACCCAAATCCTACCTCAAAACTTGAAATTTCATATATAATTATTATTCTCAAATCTAAAAATCCAATAAAAAAAATCCTCTCGTCTTCTCTTCTACAGTAAACCCTTGCGGACGCCGATTTGTCTTTTGTGGATCTCCTCCGGTGGTGGGCGGTCGGATTAGCGGTCGTCTCTGGCCGCCCGCCCATCCCCGTCGACGATTTCCTCCGGTCTCCCCTGTTGCGGCTCAATTCCAGGTTTCCCCCTTTTTGGTGGCGTCTGAGGGGCATATGCTTCGCGTTTTCGCTTCCTCCCTCGACCGTCGGGTTCGAGTTGTTTTGGTCGATGGAGGTTCCGGTTGGGGCTTGTGGTTTGGATTGGGTTTGTTGGAGTTGGGTTGCTTGGTATGATTCGGGGGAAGGTGGTTGGCTAAGGTGGGTGGTTGTGGTCTGTGGGTTGGGGTTCCGGCGAGGGGAGCAGGTTGGGTTGTTTCGGGGAAGTCGGGGGTTTTCGCTGGGCGGCGATTGGATTAGGGCCCCGGTGGCTACTGTGCGTTGTGTGTGGCTGCTGCCGGGGCTGGGGTTCGAGCATGGGGTGACTATCCTGTCTTTCTCTGTTGTTGGGGAGGTTTGGGATCTGGCACATCCAAGTTTGGCTAGTGGTGTTAGCCGGATTTCGGTTGTTCTGGTTTGGGTTGCCGTGCTGGTTCCTGTTGGAGTAGTATACCCGGCGTTCCAATCAGATTGGACGTATTCTACTTGTAAATACAATCTATTGGAATTATATTAAATAATAAGGCATTACTTTATTTTAAGAGTAAGCATTTATCATATATTTGCACTTAAGATAAAATCCCTAGATCACTTATAACTATAAGATATGGTTGCGCATAGAGATGGTGATCATGGAACATATCTTGAAAGCTGTGATCTTAAATAAAGTTCCAATTCGATGGATGTTTCGAGATGGGATATCGAATAATCCATAAAAGAATTGCACATAGTATGTATGTTTGTTGGACAAGAATGTTGCATTCCATCAACATTAGCGTGGGACGCAAGTACATATATGTGAGTGCTTGTTAGAGAATAAGTTCACTGAACATGACCGTATGAAAATACTTAATGAAAGATTTGTCTTGTCGAATAAGTATTTTCATGTTACAATAGTACATGATTGGTCCTTAGACTTGAGGCACAATGGTAACTTTGTGCGTATTACATTCTACTTTGATTTATCCTTTTGGTTGCTAGCACAATCGTATAAAGGGATGTTTTGGGTATTATGTTAATATGTATGGAAGTTTGTTAGTGGCCAACAAAGGATTCGACACTTATGAAGATAAGTGAATTTCCTATGTGAATCATAGTTAGTAATTCAAAGTCCTTGGCCAAGGCGGGATGAATAGAGATTCATAAAAGAATTACTAAACTTGAAATGGAATCATAGTTATTAAATCAATTTGGGTTTCGACAAAATCATACCCAAAGATTTAATCGGGGAATTGGATGTCGAAAGGATTTTACATGTATGAACTTGTAATCGAAATAGGTTTACTCGCTATTCACTTAATACTAGATTCATGCTACTTGCTAGATGTTCCCATGATATGTGGGTTCTTGAATTAATGAGTTAATTCAAGAATAAGAGTTAATATGAATAACTCAAATTACAAAGAGTTGTAAACCCACTACTAGTATTAATTGTGAACCTAAAAGGTCACACCAATTTTTGAATGAAGGTAAAATTCAAATAGTATTTCTAAAGAGTTAGAATTAATTGACAAATCTAATTTGATTAGATATCAATTAAAGGAATATATTAAATTAATCAATTAGATTGATTAATTGAATTTTGGATATTAATTTAGTAATTAATAGAATTACTAATTAATAGTTGGAATTTAAAATTGGATTTTAAATTTCAAATCCAAATAATAATAAGATTATTAAATAAGGAAATGGAAGAATAGATTAAAATAATAAAGTCTTGAAAAATGTTTTCAAGAATTATTATTTTATTATTTATCTTTAATATGATTGAAGATTAAATAATAATAAGAATAAATTAATTATGGTGGTTAGGAGTTGTTAAATAATCCACATAATTAATCTTATTTTTATTAATACAATAATAATGATTGATGGTGGTTATAAACCAATCATATTATTAATTAAAAGTCAATATTTGGTATGATTATTTAAATAAAATCTGATTTTATTTAAAATAAAATATATCAAATATTGATTATTTTATGCTAAAATGTTTAGTATAAATAGGTGCAAAATGTTTGCATATAAATTGCTAAGTTTTGAGCAAAATTCTTCCAAGAGAAAAATTCATTCAAAGAGTTGAGTGATAATACAAGAAATTGTTCTTGAAAAATTTCCTTATAAATATATATATTCTATACTTATTGAAAAACCGAGTAGTTTCTACTAGCGAAGGAACTATTGTCGGAACCGGACTTCAAAAGGTGGATACGATTAGAGGGAAGACATTTGGATTCCTAAAGTGAGTAACCACAAGAAGTGATCACTACCAAACCGGGAATTGATTTCCTCATACATCGTCGGTTTTGAAGGAGTTCAAGAACAAAGGTAATTTTTATAAATTACATATCAAATCAAAATTAGTAAAAGTTACTAGATTTTAAATGATGCTTATTCGTAATATCGTTATACTTATGTACGGAATAAGTATTTATAAGATAAGTACTTATAAAATTTTTAAATTCCGCTGTAAACTCTGTTCCGTACGGTATAACGAACCCAACAGTTCCTCGGTTGGAGGGTTCTGGCTCTTTGACCAAGTTCGGGGGCGAGGGCCTGCCTTTTGTATAGGCCTCGTGCATTTTCGGGGGTGGGTCTTGGCTAGGGGTCTGGTCGAGAGTTAGATGTAGCTGTTGGCTCGGTTCATCGGATTTCTAGGGGAGGGAGCTGTTGTTTTATTTAGATTTTTGGTTTTAGTTTTGCTATCTGGTTGTTTTGTAGGTTGTCTTTTATTTTGCTCAGTGTGTCTGTTTATTTTTGTTTCGGAGATGAATACAGGCTAGGCATTGTGCAGTGACTCTGTATTTCATTTTCCTTTATTTTTATTTGTGGAGTTCTATAGGCCGCCATGTGCATGTCTTCTTAGTCTTTTATTCATGTTTGTTATTAGGAGTGTTTTTGGTTTAGGCCGTTGACCCCTGTCTCATTACCCTATTGGGGCATTAGATTACCCTGTTGGGGCCTTGTAATTTATTCCTTTGTACTTTTGTGCTCTTCTATATTACCTTTATTGTTTCGAAAAAAAAAAAAAAATCTAAAAATCTTAAATTTTTTTAAATATTATAAAGTCTTAAAATGTCACTTAAATTCTCGCACCCATAATTTTCCTAAACCTAGCCTTCAAAATCACTTCAATGCTCTACTTTTCTATCGGCTTCTTCCCAACCACCGTCTTCATCTGCAGATAAACTCCACACCTCCAATGGCGGACAACACTACAAGGTACCGCATAGGGTACGCCCTCGCGTCCAAAAAGATCCAAAGCTTTATTCAGCCATCTCTCCTCAACACGGCCAGCGAGCGAGGAATCGATCTCGTCTCGATCCAACTCACCAAACCCTTGCTCGACCAACCCCCCTTCGACTGCATAATCCACAAACTATCCGACCCGGATTGGATCCACCAGCTCCAACAGTACCTCTCGGAGAACCCAAACGCCGTCGTCATCGACAAGCCTGCCGCAATCGACCGCCTCCACAGCCGCGTCACCATGCTCCAAGCCGTCGGCCAGCTCGATCTTCCCCCTCAGTTCTCGCTCGAGATCCCCCGCCAGGTGCTCGTCGGAACCCCCGACTCATCGCCTGCCGCTGTCGCCACCTTCGATTTTCCGGCGATTGCGAAGCCAGTGGTGGCGGACGGCAGCGCCGTCTCCCACCGGATGTTCCTGGTTCTCGACGAGGACGGCCTCGACGGTCTGCGGTCGAAGCTGGAAGCCCCGTTCGTGCTCCAGGAGTTTGTGAACCACGGGGGCGTGATTTTCAAGGTCTATGTGGCCGGAAAACACGTCCAGTGCGTGAAGAGGCCATCATTGCCCGACATTTCCGAGGAGAAATTGGGTTCGTCCGAAAAGTTGATTCCCTTTTCGCAGATATCAAATGCCACATATCAGGATCAAAGTAACGAGAGTGTGGCTCGGGCAATTGAGGCTGCCGAGCTGCCCCCACTTGGTTTTGTGAACGAGGTTGCTAGTCAGCTTAGGGAGGCTTTGGAATTGAACCTCTTCAATTTTGACATGATTAGGGACAGTAGAATTGAGGGCCGTTATCTCGTCATCGACATAAATTATTTCCCAGGTTATGCGAAGATGCCATCTTACGAGAAGATTTTGACCGATTTTTTCCTTGATATCTTGGAAAATAAGGAGAGTGTGGCTTCGGAAGATCGTGGACCTGCATAGGTGAATTTTTTCGGGATGTCTTAATGGTGATTGTATGGTGTTTGCTGTTGTGGAGAATGAAGGATGAAAAGGTGATATTGAGCGAGCACAATGTGTCCGAGATGTGGAGAATCCACCTAGGAGAAGCTAACCTCTTTTTTTTTTTTTCACATTCAACAAAATCTTGGTCCTTTTATACCGTTTTAGAAATCAAGCTTTGCAGTAAAGCAACAAATCATGGCAGCATTAGGTTAGTTTGCTGTAATTGCAGTCTAGTGATGCTTTGGATTTTATGCTCTCTCTCCAAATTTCCTTTGATTTTGGTGTCTTTCATGAAGGGTAATATGCAGATGCAAGTAATAAAAGCTCATAATTTGCTTTTTTCCTTCCTTATCAGTCTAGATGATCTGAGGTTAGTTTCAAGATATAGCACGTATTGTTTCTGGTAATATTTTGATACAGGTGTTTGTTGCCAAGATCTTGTTAAAATTGTGTATAAGGGAACTGGCCTTGCCTGGTGACAAGAATCTAGGGTTGTCGGTTTGACCTGTGCTCAATTTCCTTCATGAATTCACCACAAATGACATTAGGAATTTTACAAGCATTCATATGCAAGCATAATTGCCAGTACTGTGCTGTGTTAGTTTTTTTTTGCAAGAAAGCAATTATGCAGAAGTTTGAGCTACTTCAGTCATTCTTTTTTCGAATTTGCTTGTTCATCTCACAGGACAAGAATCGCCTATTTATTAATTAACAATTTTCGCTCTTGGATATTCCGAACAAATAATCTGTGGGGTGGAGAATTTTTTCACCTTGCCTCCATTGACCGGAAGTAAAAAAGTGAACTGGAGTATAACTATATTCCATATCAATTCTCATTTTCATGCATAATGGATTGGTTGTCAATTCACATTTCAAAATCTACACATTGATCATAGTTACATTCGTGTTTAATATCTGGCCACAACATACATTTGTGTAATATAGAAATTTTCCAAATATCAAGCATTTTTTTCTTTTTCTTTTTTGTTATGATGAATCTCCAACCTCAAAATTTCATTTAAAACACTCAGAAGAACAACACTTACATTCAGCTGAAGAATCTCCAACCTCAAGTGAGCAAGCACACACCAAGCCCAAGGCCAACAACAACTACTGAAAACGATCTTCACCAGTAATCCTTACAAGAGCAATACCCTCCCTTGAAATGGTGAAACCGGTACCGATCCCTCAAAACAATCTCCCGATCATAAACCTCCGACACGAGCTTCATCACCTCGTGACAGTCTCCACAAACCCGAAGATTCTTCACTATCCGGATGGGCCGGCCAGAACGATCACTCAGAAGCCCGAAAGCAAGAGCTAGCCTCTCGCTATGGAGATGCAAAGCTTTCTCCCGCATATCCTCTTCCTCGACCAGCTGCAACACCTCCGACTTTCTCGGCACGTATCCCGAAGACTTTAGCCTATCCGCAATTTCCCCCAGTTTAGAGTATATTTCTCTCGAAATTGGGTGTGTAATATCACCAACAAGAAACTCATGAACAGCACCACCAATCTCGACCAAACTACACCCGGGTTCTTTCTTTAAACCCGCGTCCCGCATTCTTTTCCTCAGCTCAGAAACTTTGTCCCATTTACCCAAATCAGCGTAAATATTGGACAAGAGCACGCAAGCTCCGTGGTTTTGAGGCTCGATTGCAAGCAGACGCTCGCACGCATTTTCTGCTAAATCGACATTTTTGTGAAGCCTGCACGCTCCAAGCAGAGACCCCCAAACAGAGGCACTAGGATTCACTGACATATTCCCAATCAACTCAACGGCCTCATCTAATAAACCCGCCCGGCCAAGAATATCAACCATGCATGCGTAGTGCTCGACGCTTGGCTTCACACCATAAAAACTCTCCATTTGATTGAAAAACTCTCTACCTTCCTCGGCCAGGCCCGAGTGGCTGCACGCGGACAACAAATTCATGAGAGTAATTGAAGTAGGCTTAACTTTAGCTTCTTGCATTTTCGAGAAAACCTCTATAGCGTCCTTGCCACGCCCGTGCATGCCCAATCCGGCAATCATCGAGCTCCAAACAAACGTGTCCCTTTTAATTTTATCGACCGAATTAAAAACCTCGAGCGCCTTCTTTAGGTCCCCACACTTGGAATACATGTCGATCAATGCAGTCGCAAGGTGGCAATTTAACCTCACATTTTCCCTCTTTATGTAAATGTGGGCCCAAATGCCTAAATCCAAAGCGCCCAGCTGAGAACACGCGGACAATATGCTCACAAGGGTGACCTCATTGGGTCTCGTGGCCTTGCTGAGCTGTAACTCGTTGAAAATGGCTATTGCCCCCATAGGATTACCGTTTTGTTCGTAACCCGAGATGAGGGCGTTCCACGCAGCAATATCTTTTTTGGGTAGGGACTCGAATAGATCCATTGCTGAGTTAAAATCTCCCGACTTTGCATATCCAGCCAAAACGGTTGTCCACGAAATGATATCCATCGTGTTCATCCTGTCAAAAAGATTTCTAGCGTCCTTCATGCTCACACACTTGGCATACATATCGAGAATCGCATTACACAGAATCAGATTTGGTTCGATTCCGTTCTTCGTTATGTAAGAATGCACCCATTTTCCAAACTTTAAATCTGCCTTCTTCCCGCAAGCGGACAACAAACCCACCAACGTGACATCATTCGGCTTCACACCTATTTCCCAATCCATTCGCAAAAAGAACTCTGTCGCCTCGTTAGCAAAACTGTTCTGCGCAAGCCCATTGATCATCGAGTTCCAAGAAACTGCATCCCTCTCGGGCATGCCTGCAAATACCCGACGGGCCGCATCCAAAAGCCCACACTCACAATAGAAATGAATCAGCGAGTTATTCACAAACAAATCTGAACTGAAACCTTCCTTGACCGCCATCCCGTGAATCACCCTACCGAGACCCGAGTCAGCAAGCTGGGCCGAAGCATTGATCACGAAAGGGTATGTAAACTTGTTGGGCCTCTCGACACATTCTTGAAGCAGGCGAATGAACACAAGGAGACAGTCAATGGGCTGGGAGGAGGATGCGTAGGCTCGAAGGAGAACGTTCCAGGAGTAGAGATTTGGTTGGGGAATTTGGTCGAACACTTGGCGGGCGTAGCGAAGGCTGGGGGACTCGGAGAAGGCGGACGAGTGGAGGAGCTTGCTGGCGGAAAACGGGTCGGAGAAGAGCCCGGCCCGGAGCATTTGGGCGTGGATTTGCTTGATCTGGTGGGGCGTCGAGCACTGGTCGATGAGCGAGATGGTGGGGTGGCTCGCAAAGCGGCGGTCGGTGGTGGTGGTTTGGATGGTGGTGAGTGGGACACTTGGAGCCGCCATTTGTGAAAAACACGTGCACGCTCGGTTTTTTTTTGTTGGAGGGAGTATTATATTCGAAAATATTAATTTTTTTTAGATAATTCGAAAATATTAATAATTAGGCAAAATTGCACCACACATCACGACCTTTTCGACTTTTGCGTTTCTGTCACCACTTTGCGACCTTGGCAATTCGATACCCAACCTTTCGGTATTTTGCAAGACCAAGCATTGACCACATTACCGGCCGACCAATGCCAACCTGTCCGGCCATTTAATCCAACATGGCTCTGATGTTGACGACGTGGCTGAGGCAACATGTATATGTCAGCAAAACGACGTCGTTTCTTGCATCCAACTTTTATAAAACCGATTCATCCCCAAACTCAAATCACAAATCCCTAAATTGTTCCCCATCTTCAAATCCCTAAATTGTTCCCTATCTTCGACAAGAAATTGTTCCTTCTCCTTCAGCTGCAAAGAATCACTGCAAAGAAATTGTTACTGTCCACACATGGCAACAAGCTCGACCAACAGTGGAGCTTCGAATGGAAGTGCAACCCACACACAAGTCCGTTGTTACTGTCCAGATGAGGCCGATTTGCTGATCTCGCAAAGTGATGCAAATCCTGGTCGAAGATACTTCCGTTGTCCACGTCGAAAGGTAAGTTTTATGGACAGATTTTACCCTAATTTTTTAGAAATAATTCAAAAACATGATGGACAGATTTTGCCCTAATTTTTTTTTTAATTCGTCATAATTAATTTGATGTTTGTAATCTAATGATTGTATTGTAGTTTAAGGACTGTAAGTTCTTCTTATGGTGTGATCCTGAGATTCCACCATCTCAAAAGGCTGCTTTTTTGAAGTTCAAGAATGAAAGGAAAGGTTTGGGTGATGAATTGAAATGCAAAGAAGAGGAGGTCAAAGTGTTAACCTCAAGATTGGACATCATAGAAAGAGAGATGTTGGAGCTGCAGGTTAAACATGCTAAATTGGAGGAGTGTATAGACACATTTGTTAAGAAGGAGAAGTTTCCAACTTTATTTGTAATGTTCATGTTGGCTTGTGTTATTCTTCTGTTAGTGTTGAAGTTGAAGTAGATGCAGGTTAATTTGACTTTGGGTGTGTTTAGAAGGTTAATGACTTTTGATTGAAGTTGTACTTTGGGTGTGTTGAGAAGGTTGATGAATTTTGATTGAAGGTGTGCAAGGTGTGCTGATGAATATTGTGTTCTTGGTTTTATGATTGAAAGAAGATGTGATCTTTCACTGAACTTATGTATTTTAGTTGTTATTATTAGTTAACTGAAGAATATCTCCTTCATATGTGTGTTTTACATTACAGTGGTGAAGATGAGGTTTTCTTTCTGTTGTTTAGGGGACATGATAATGGTGTACATGTTTTCTCTGTTGTTTCACATAGTATTGACATACCTATAAAGTAATGAAGAGCACCAAACAACACCAAACAAAAAACACCAAACAATAAGTAATGAAGAGCACCAAACTATCCAGGTGCTTTTGGATTAAAACCAACAAAAACCATCACTTTTGTCAACAACTCTGAAAATAGTTTGTGACCATCACCTTTGTCCACACATCCAACCAAAAACATAATCTTTGTCCAAAACATCCAAGCAAAACCAAGTATCAATACATGAAACAACTAAAACTTAGTTTGTGACCAATCATCCCAACAACAACTAACATCCAACAAATGTGTTCACCAAAAACCAAACCAAACATCCATTGAACTAACTGGCTGCACTTTCTTGAGTGCCAATGGTGTGACCTCTGCCACTTCTAGTCCTTCCTCTGCCACCTCTACCAGTTCCTCTATGTGAGGTACTTCCACTGGCACTAGCACTGCCACTATTCCCACCTCTACCTGAAGGGCCTCCATGTACAAGATGAACTCTTCTTGCAGTGGACATCTGTTGAAACATAAACATAAACATGACTACATAACCTCATGTAAATATTGCCA